AGAAAAGTACAGGGAGAGAACAAAAAGTTAAACAAATGTGTTGTCCCACTCACCCAAATGTCCTGTCCCACTCACCCAAACCTCACACACAAAAACAAATTTTAGTCAGTTCACAAAAAAGGGTATGCCATGCATCCATGGAACATAATCAGATCTTCTTTCCTCCTCAAATGGATAGGTAACATCTTCAGCATTACAGAAATATATCATATGTTGGGTTATTTTTTGAAATCCATAGCAAGAAATCTCACACAATGCAGAAAACCGAAAACTGTCCCACTCACCCTGAACTTACCCTACCAGAATAAGACTTTAAAAATCATCATAGTTGTGGAATGTGTAGGCCTACACCTTGGCTCTTTATAATCTCCAGATTTCCAGAAATACGACTGAGAATATTGGACACTAAGGTAACTATGGCCCTGTTACAGTGTCATCATTACTGATGGAAATTATGTCCAAACCTATGAAAATAAGACCCTAGTTGTAATAAACTGGAATAATCCTTTTAGGATGTGCAGCCGCTAAAATGTTTGCAGGGCTTCCACTCGTCCTTAATTTTTAAGAGACCCATTCCTAACAGGAGGAAATCTCCCTCACAGAGGAGGAAAGAACACACACTAATGAATCAGATCAAATATTGTTGATTAAAAACCTCTGAAATCCTGTCTCACACACTGACTGATAGTGGTGTAGTGATGGTGTCATACAGACAGTTTATGACAAAGGTAACATTAATCCAGATTAATTCAACAATCATTAATTATACACTTTCGTGCAGGACTCGGCTGTGTATCAAGGGCAAAAAGGATTAGCTGCAATTTGCATAATAAACAGGCCAAACAAACAAACAAAAACAGAAAAGCAGAGGTAAATAAACCTTGAAGTGAGTCCTTGTCTGCTGCTGTCCATTTTTATGTACACAGTTTATTAATCAATATTTGTGGCCATAATTACAGCTGTTTTGCTTGTTGGGAGGTAATGGAGATTAATTAGTGACCTGCAACAAATGCTGTATGTATAAAGGGATAATGAGCTCCGCTTTATGCTTTAATTTTTAAGTGATATTTCAAGTCATCCAAGAAAGTGGGGAAATTAACTTTAGACTTTTTAATTGTGTGGAGGTTTTTTTTTGGTTTGTTTGTTTGTTATTTAAGACCCCCGGTGGTTCCATCTTCACGGTGAAAGTCTCTCAAGCAGCAGAGCAATAATGAATCAGGTCCTATCGTCTCAGTGGGACTTTCCCTTATTTAAGGTGACCTTCCACAGATTAAAAACACCATTTAGTGTCTCGCCATCTAACGCTATATTGGGCTGAACATTAAAGACACTGTCACAAATTAGAATCCAGGAGCTGAACGGAGAGGTTTTTACACTGTGTCCGAAACTCTTTAATTACTTTATCATAGTTAGCTTTATTTCCTTAAATATGCCACTCTGTTTCCCCGTAATGTGTTTCAATCTTCTCTTTCTACTCTGCATATGACACCATTCACACATATGACACCTTTCACACATTCCTCCATCCTGCTGCTCTTCTGATTTTTCCCCATTTGATGTATTTTGTGTGTGGAGTTTTCCCGTATCTGAATTAAGCATAGATGTCATTTACTCTGGGGATGCTGAGGCCATGTCCCTGTCACTTTTTGAAACAGAGAATATTGTTCCCATCACCTTTTGAGCATAATTTATTAAAATGTTCTGAAAAATAGAACATTTTTAGAATAGAAATGAGAGCTCTTTATTCCCACAATAAGACAATGACAATGCAATGTCAATATAAAAGAAAAAGATGTGCATTGTCCAAAAAGTAAATTAATGAATGAAACAGTGATGTGAATGGGTGCCACATGCACATTTACAGAGGCTACTTCCCCAAACAAAAGACACAAAACAGGATGGAAGAGCAAATCATGCTTACATCTGTGCTGACTCAGCAGAAATAACATTCCATGAGAAAAGTTAATCTGCAGGAGAATGAATATTTAAAAGCAATACAGAATGCCTGAGAGCCTAAATGCATTAAATCCCATTATATTTTTTTAATTGTCACCTGCTGCCTGGATTTTGTATTTTCCTTTATATTAATAAAGCCATTTCCACCGTAAATTGGTGCATAAAAATTCACCAGAATGCAGGAAATTAAGTATTTGATGCTGAAAAATTCTTACGTGGGGACCCCCAGACCCCCTGTTTATATGAAAACTTGGATTAAGAGCCAACATGGATTTCAAACTGTAAAGCCCTCTGAAACAAATAAGCAATATGGCCTTTTCAGAAAAGATTGATTCGATCTGATTTATTTCTCCACCTTTCTCTCTGCTGATTGTGAAGAATCTACACCCATTCAGTGGCGGAGGAACCACTCAGGGGCTGAATACTGTGGGTTCACTTAGTGTGGGCTTTGGAGTCCCAGAGCTGAGCATTTTTGGGTCTCTATCTCCTCACACACTCACGCACTGAGTCTGTTAACATCCAAATCAAGTCCACAGGAGGAGGAGGAATACATAAGAATGGATAAATATACCCTGTGCAGGTGATGAGTGTGCATGCAAACTATTCTGTGTCAAGCAGTGTTGCAAAAATCCAAACTGTCAAGATGCAGTGATGGAAGTAACTAAGTACATTTAATCAAGTACTGTAATTATTTTAAGACAGTTGGTGCCTGCTTCATATTTGTTCCCCACTACATTTCACAGTGAACTACAGTTATGTGATAGCTGCACTGCTGTGTAAAAGCAAAACAGCTTCATTTGGGTCAAAAATGACTTTCTGTACTTTTCTGAAGAATAACCACTGTGGACAAAAGTTTTTTTTTAAATAGTGGGTTGTGTTTGTCTTAACTGAGAAAAGTCCTGGACAAAATAAGGCTTTCTTTTGTTGTGCTTAGAAATGCTTTGTTTAACCACGCATGAAGTTACTGTTTTTGGTGTTGCAACCTGCAGTTTTTAAGGATAGGAAAAATAATACTGTTTTAATTCAATACGAATGTTAGTTTAGCCAATTTGGTCCAAGTAATACAAGCTGCTGATGTACCATGAAAAGACAATCATGAGAAAGTGGTTCTATATCAATAGATTTTATCTAAGTCATAATTACTGCCGTATTGCTTACTGTAATCAACCACAAATTGAGAGATCAAATGGAAATTAATGCCTTTTGACTCAGCATGAGCTCTTGTTATTATGTAGACAATGCAGAGGCACAGTACCTTAACTTCTGAATAAGGGTCAGAGGTCAAATCTGAGCTCAAGATTTTTTTTAGATAAATACCTTCATTTAATAATAATAAATTTAAAAAAAGAATTGCCACTTTTCAAATATTATGTCTACAGTTTATTTAGCTGGACACAGAAACAACTTTAAAGTCATTTTCACTCTGGTGAGTTCAGGTCTTTTGCCTTTACAGGGCAGTGTAGTCACTGAATACTTTTCAGACTAAGGCAGCTTTCAGTACTTCATGCTTGTGACCCCTCACAGAAAAGCAATGTTTTCTTGTGTCCCTTGTGCTGTCTTAGATATCTCTGAGTTAGCAGTTCCACCAAAGAGACATTTAACCTCTCAATTTCTAATATGGTTTCATTTTAATTGCTGTGTAAAGCCCAATAATGGGCAAATGATACAATGTTTTACAAGAAAAAGCTGAAACTAGAGAAAAGTCAACATAAATTTAATACAAACTTGTAAAGCAATTTGTGTCCAGCTACATGTTTTTTCAGGAACTACAATATGTTTTAGTTGATTTTTTAATTCTCAACTGAATGTGTGTGTGTTGTCAAAGACTGGGTTTTGTTATTTTGCTGTTGTGTCTTAACTGTTTTGAGGATTTTTAAATAAAATATTACTATAAATAATTGTAATACATATGTATAATCTTTAAAAAAAAACTGCATGCGGAGGCCCTCATAGACAGCTGTCTGGTTTGCGTCTGTGACAGGTTGGCGCCTTCCAATGACAGAACACCTTCTCCTCCTGGCATAGACAGATTTCAGGGTTGGACACAGGAGATACATCCCCCTCAAAATGTAGAGCATGTGCATTTGTCTCCCTGAGTAAAAACATTAGCAGAAGACTTTTATTTTGACAAAAATAAAGACATTTACACCGTAAACTGCAGAAAAGGCACAAGTTGCTGCTTAAAAAACACCAGAATGCAGGAAATAAAGTGTCTGATGCTCAGAATTTTCTGGCGGAGGACCCTGATACCCCCCGTTTCATAAGTGACCCTCCTTATGTTAAAAAGAAATTGACGCCCTCTCCTCCTGGCCACCCACACAGTTGGGCCGCTCTACATATAGTGCAGCTGCCAGAATGAAAGTTTGCCTGAAACCTACATTTAAAGAAACGTAAAAGTCAAATTCACCAGTCTTGAAGTGCAAAGCAGTGAGCTTTGAAGTGTAGTTTGTGTATGCCAGTAAAAATAAGAAAACACACTAATAAGAAACAGAATGTGAAACTAATCTCTGTTAGAGATGGTGGAAAGTGTGTGTGTGTGTGTGTGTGTGTGTGTGGAAGTAATTCATGTGTTAAAAAACAGGGTTGGAGGAAAAGTCATGATGAACAGATGAACGTTTAACAAAGTTTTAAAGGTATAAAAACTCTGAAACTTTACTGTGCTTATTGTTTTTCAGTCGAGCCATTTCAGCCACCCAGAATCCTCCTGGCATAGGCTTCTGTGGTGTGTGTGTGTGTGTGTGTGTGTGTGTGTGTGTGTGTCTGTTTAGACCAACTGTACCAGAGCATCCCTTGCCCTTTTCCTGAAGAATCCCAAAAATATCTGAAGTAAGTTGTGACAACATTTCCCTCACAGCGCATCCCCCCCGCAAAACCCCATCAACCTCCGCGCGCCTATTGGTCCTGGCTTTTCCTTCGCCGCGTCACGATTGGACGAGTCCTCCGCTCGTCTGTTTGACTGACACCACCGGAGCCACAGTCTCCTCCCAGCGCCAGCAGACGCTATTTGAGTGGGGACCAGCGGATTGTTGTACATAGAGCCGGTTTAGTGTCGTCAATGGGAAGCACACGAGACGGTGGCAAAGCGAGTTACGGTCTAGATTGAAATCCGCGGCTGCACCATGCTCTCCAGGTCTATCCCGTGTCTGTGGATTACATTTTGCCTTCATTTATGCTGTTATGTAGACAGCGGAGAAGCACAGAATGCGAAAGAAGGTAAGTTCTTAAAGTTTGGACTCTCTTCCATCCCATCGCGTTTGGAAGACATCCTCCAGAATTAATAGAGAGCTTTCCAAATTCAGCAGCTGCTTTGCCTGTTTTTTCATATGTTCTCTTTAAATCCCACGCGATGTTTAAGTTCCCCTACAAAGCAGGATGTTTTACAGAGCCAGTGCAGTCAGATGAGGCCGGTGTGCGGGGATGACAGCGCTGTCTGCTCCCGGGCTGTTTGCGAGCGACCTCTCGGTGTTTTACGCACGGCAGTTAAACGCCGTAGAGCACGGATTAGACGCAGGAGCTGTTATTTTTATTTGACTACAGCGCCAATGCGTTATCGGCATAACTAGCCTGCTCGTTATAGATTAACAGTCTATCACGGCAAACTAGGTAATATCAGCGGATCGATCGTCCCAGCAAGCTCGCCTGTGTGGAAGTGAGTGAGCCGTCGATCTGGACGCAGTTACGGAGGGTTATTTCCTTCCAGAGTGGCCTCGGCTCTCTAACAGTCCAGTCTTGTTTCATATAGGAAAACACGGCAGATTGATGCGGAGCTGTAATCTGCCTCAGACGCTCAAGTTGACCAGAGTCAAGGCTGTAAAACACTAAAAATAAGAGGGCATTTAAATGTCTCCAAATGGCTAAAAATGGCACTTTTAATTGATCAGATTGAAGGTAAATTAATGAAATTAAGTCATGCGTAAAAAGAGAAAATCACAGCACAGGTATTGATTTTCTCCACACTCAAACTACAGTGCAATAACGGAGCGCAGTCTGGATGTAATAGCTGATATGAATTGTAAATCCTCGGCGCTTACATGCGGGATTTCGCAGACCTCCATATCACACAGTCTCCTGTAAGATACAACCAGAGCATTATTTTTTTTACGGCAGTGCGTCCTGGCTGTTGCCCCTCTCATCATGGAGCTGTCTGCTCAGACCAAATACAATTAAAACAACTTCATTTTTTTTATGAAACCCGCCGTGGTGCCGCTTTGCGCTCTCGCACGCTTCCGGAACATAAAACAGGCTGATCTGACAATTCTCCCTCTCAGATTAAAACTGCAACAAGCCGCATGTTAAACGGCTTCACTGCAGTTTTAAGGTCGTTTGCTGCTGAGAATATTCTTGAGTTGAAGCGCATGTACTGTATGTGCGTCGGGATGGAAGCGGCTGCTTTGACCTTAACGCAACAACTTCCACTCCAACAATGAGTTTTAATAAACGGATGCGTAAAATAAACCCACATTTAATCGAATAAATTTGGTGACATTTTACGCGCAATGCTTCCAAACATGCGTGTTTCCTTCTAGGCTCTTAATGTCTTCTTTATTCCCACTGTCAGCGTCTTCATTTGTGTCTCACAAAGTTCCCCCGCAGACATGAGGACCTGTCTACTGCAGTGTATATATTCTTATTGAATGTTTTAGCTGCTGCCGCTGCTAGAAATTAGGTCACGGGTATATGCGCTATAGATACCGATGTGTGGCCTATCAGTAATACCCAGCCCCGGTGCCCCGGTGAGATTTAACCACCTGCCTCTCGGTTTCCTGTCACTAGTGATTCTGCTGGACTCCAAGGCACAGCAGACAGAACTGGAGTGGATCTCCTATCCTCCCAATGGGGTAAGTCTGCAGAAGCATCACACGGATATACTCCATATATGTTCCCCAGCTCTCTGATGTCCCACATCTGTGACAAGAATAATAATATTTAGAGGAGGCATGCAAGGGCGTAGAATTTGTTTCAGCACTGGGGGGACATATCTGAAAGAAAAGGGTTAGGGGGGAATATTTGAGCGTCAAACACTTGATATCCTATATTCTGGTAAATTTGCATCAGTTTATGGTGTACATGTATTTAGTGTTGTCAAAATAAAAGTCCAGATGTTTGTAATGCGGGAGGGACAAATGTCCATGTTCTAAATATTGAGGGGAACGTGTCCCCCGTGTCCCACCCAAAATCTGCACCTATGCGTGAAACAAACACAAGGATCAGTAGCCGATATTCCCCCAGCCCTCAAAAGTCTCCTCGAAGGAAAGATAAAGAATGCAAGAGGCTGTTTCTGCTACTAAACTCTCCCGGCTTTTGACATTCAGAGCACAAAGGCCTTAAGCAGCCCACTTCCAACTTGCTAGTCTGATTAAAAGCAGGCTGTGAGAAACTTTTTAAATAAATAATGTGAGCAGAAGCAGATAAACGGAGCACAATCATCCTTTAAAAGATGTGTTTGTGCGATAAAAACACAACTGCTTATCTCCCTTCATTCACCGCAGTTTGTTGTATACAGTAAAGTCTGGAACATTTCATATACCTTTGTCATTTTCATTACAGAGTAATCACCTCCAGTTTGATTGCCAATCATTGGGTGTCTGTCTCAGTTTAACGGCTAGATTCAAAACGGTGATGTTCTGTCGTGAGTGCATTCCTTTAAAAATGTATGTCTTCTCGTTTCAGTGGGAAGAGATCAGCGGCTTGGATGAGAACTACACACCCATTCGCACATACCAGGTTTGTCAAGTCATGGAGCCCAATCAGAATAACTGGCTTCGGACTAACTGGATAGAGAAGGGCAATGCCCAGAGAATTTTTGTGGAACTGAAGTTCACCTTGAGGGATTGTAACAGCCTACCTGGTGTGGTGGGCACATGCAAGGAGACGTTCAACCTGTATTACCAGGAAACAGATTCGGAGGTGGGAAGGAGCTTACGGGAGAACCAGTATGTGAAAATTGACACGATCGCCGCAGATGAAAGCTTCACCCAGGGCGACCTGGGCGAGAGGAAGATGAAGCTGAATACAGAAGTGCGCATAATTGGCCCCCTGTCCAGGCGGGGCTTCTACCTGGCCTTCCAGGATGTCGGGGCGTGTATCGCCCTGGTCTCTGTCAAAGTTTATTACAAGAAGTGTTGGTCTATCATCGAGAACCTGGCCACATTCCCCGACACCGTGACGGGATCGGAGTTCTCCTCGCTGGTGGAGGTCGAGGGCATGTGCGTGAGTGACGCCGAGGAGGAGGCCGACAACTCTCCCAAGATGCACTGCAGTGCCGAAGGGGAATGGCTCGTGCCAATTGGGAAATGTATATGCAAAGCTGGATTTCATCAGAAAGGAGATGCGTGTGAACGTGAGTACCTTTTTTTTTTTTTTTGTCAAGAAACAATAATTTAATTTGCTCATTAGCATTCGCAGAGTTGTTTCTTCTTGAATTAACTTTCAGAAATCAGTCAGGGGCATCCTGGATTTCTCACAGCAAAAAGGTGCGCCAAGAAAAAATACAATAAACTGGGGAGTATTTGTGATTTGATTATGCAAAGCAGGTAAATGACAATTTAGGCATCACTGGCTGAATAGTTGGCAAATGGGATTAAAGCAGCTGATCTGACAGCAGTAAAGATGCATAAAGTATTGAGGCCAAACATGCTCAGTATAATAATTGAAATCTGTGTTAATTGATTACGAGGCCCTTCATAGCCAGGATTCTGTTGACACTGGGATTAAATAATAACTTGAGTTTAGCTCCTCAGCTCCAGTACTTCTATCTTTCTTAGTGGCGACGAGCCAAAACAATCAGCAGCAGAATACAGAGGTCTAGAGGAAGTCCAGCCGGTCCTTCAGTATCATTCTACCACGGGCAAATGACCCTGACAGAGAGGGAAAACAAATAGCCGTTGCACTGTGGCATTTAGGCCTCAGGATATTTATGAAGGAGCCTAACAGGAAGGGCAAACGCAGCCTCGCTGTGGCTCATTCTTGCCTTGTTGTGGTGCTGGATCGTGCCGCTACAATTAACAATAACCTGCTCTCTGTCACTCTGAATGCACGGAGGATTATTTTCAGTGGGCACCTGACTTGAAAGATAAAAATCACCATGGATTAAACGGGGGTGACTTAGGTCATGGAACTTAAGTGGCCTGCCTTGTCAAGCCTTTTTTTTTTTTTTTTTTTTTCAAAGTGGGCAACCTCAATCTAAGCAGCTTATGAGGAGCAGCAGCCAGTAATAATTGAATGGAATGTGTCTAAGAACAAATTAGTGTCCCTGGCAGACAAGCTTTTATGCCACGCTGTCATCCATTAGGGACCCCACTGAGGGAGGTGTGTTAATGAAATGTATTAGGCCATGTAATTTAGAGCAACACAGCCCACCTCAAGTTGTGCTATGTCTCTGATGTTAGCGGGCGATCGCTGATTCAACCCCACGGAGCTCCTTCTTATTGTTCTTGTTGTTTTAATATGCATAGAGGTAAGATCCAGTTGTGCCCTTTGGTGGAAAGAAAGCCCACGATTTATTTCCACAGGGAGAGCGATGCAGCACAACAACAAATAGCTCCGTCTTGTCAAAGTAATTTTAGCAACCTTTCCTTATTATGTCTTGGTGAAAAGCCCTCACAACAGAGAACTGTGGCATCTCTCTATTAATTAATCTGTCCACACGTCAACTAAAACAAATACCGAGATATTCTAGACAAGCAGTACGGTGAAACCTACCCTCAGGTTGTTTAAAGTCTGAGAAAGAAGGCTCCTTAATGTGTACGCGGATCAAATTCCAGTCTTGACACTGCACCTTTGTGAGCTTTATCTCCACTGAGGCATGAGAAGCCTTTGTATTAAGGGGTAGTTAATCTAAATAAAATGAGAATCACGGTGCACCATCAGCACTTCTTCCAGCGGCTCCACTGACATTAAATTGTCCATTCAGTAGTTTCCTCGAGCACAATCTAAAAGCTATTCAAAGTATTTCTATCAGCCAAACAGCGGAGCAATAAGTCCAAGTGGCTGTGACCGTTAAAAATGTGAAATCCTGGCATTTGGACCTCGGACTAGCTTGTCTTAGCGGTGTAAAAGAACATCTCTATAATGGTGCCTCAGGGTGATGCTGCACCTTTATTACAAAGGCTTCAGTATGCTTCAAACAAAGTAGTTCGTACGGAGTGTGGTCCGAACAATTCTGAAGGCAATAGTGTTTATACCTGTGGGGCAAACTTCACGAGGGGAAAATTCTGCCGTCATTGAGAGCGGGGAGATGAATTGTGCGAATGGGGGTAACAGAACACACTTTTAGGAAAGTCTTTCCTCAAAAACCTTATAGGCGGTGCACTCATTTGTACACATAAACATGACAGAAATGGATGAAAAAATGTATAAAAATTGTATGAGGTCAAACCCATCCTGCCTTCAAACCTCCGCCAGTTGTTGCAAAAATGGGTCAGTATGTCCTCATACAACAGTTCACATGAGAACTTAGGAAAATGCACACAAAACCCATATGTTATGTACTTGTAACCTCGTATGTTAGTGTGACATCTATGGAATCACTGCCCTAAGAATGACGTTACATACTTAATGTAAAGTTACATAGGTCTGTTATAAGCGTGTTGAGTTACTTTGGTTAGGTCTAGGAAAAGAAACATGGTGTTTATGTACCCTAAAGTTGCTCAAAGTTGACTTGGTTTCACACAGTTATGAAGCCTGGTCTCCTGGGGGACAGTCCCATGTTTTATATCCCATTTAGTACTTCCTTACGGGGACCTGTCCTTCTTGACTCCCGTCAGCGCATTGGTCACATGACTGCAGCCTTCCCAAATACATGGGTTATAAGCAAATTACCGGCTCATGATTATGTGGGATATACATGAATTTTGGGGGTATACGTACAAACAGCGCATGAGAACAGTCCGAATGGGTATAAATGTTGTGACTGTTGGATTCTGAAAGGTACAAAAGTTGTTGCAAACCTTCTTATTCCAACATTCGGGAGATACTGTTTGACTCTCCAGCTCGAACTTTGGAGCAATCTGACGGCCAGGATTTTAAATTCGTGACTGGTCACCAAAATGTTCAAATATTTTCTGTAGATTTTATCTTCCTACATGCTCTAATGGAATTTAATCGTTGGACTCAGCCTCCCAGATTCTTAAAACATTAAAGTGTGGAGGCAGAGGATTTCTGATGCCATTGAATGATGTCACTGGCACTTCCTTGGAAGTGTGCTGATGCCTTAAAAGGAATTCTTCACCCACAAAATGACCATTTATATATCGATTGCTCACCATGTGTTATCTTGAATTTGTGAAGAAAACTTTGTTTTTTTTTCCGCATGCCTCCACAGTGAATGGAGAATCCAAATAAGGTGAACGTTCTTCTCGAACTGAAGTCGTAGGGGTTATAAAACTATATCAAAACTTCTTTTTACAAACTCTTCCACAGCTCATGCGGTGTAATCCAAGTCTCATTTATCCAGTTGTATGCTCAGTACTTTCCAAACACATACAGAAGTTCCCTGATGTTCACCTTTTTTGGATTCTTCGCTCACTGTGGAGGCATGCGAGAAAAACGTTTCTCCACAAATTCAATGTGATACACACAAATGATCATTGTGCAGGTGAAGTATTCCCTTAAGACCATGCTTAACTGCCTCAATCTAGTATCAGCAGTGTGCTATGATTACAACATGGCTGCCATATAAAATATTCAACCGGAGGGCGGGTGCAGGTGGAGTGAGCAAGTCGAGCTGTCAGTCATGTCATCTGAGGAGCCCCCTCTGTGGATGCAAAAGGCCTCCTCCGAAACGTGTTGTGATCCACTCATTCATCACCGTCAGCGAAGAGGGACCCCTTGTCTTTCACCCCTCTGCCCCCCACACCCCTCCCTCTGTCTCTCTTTAACTCTTTGTGTGGCAATCTCTGGCAGTAAATGTCACTCTTCTTCTCCGCCTGCTGCGTTCACTGGTCTCAGTGTAATGGGTGTTGAAAAAGGCCAGTTGAAGTGTCCCCGCAGCCTGCGCGGGGCTTCATTTTGCGAAGAAGTGCGTGTTGGGAAAATAGCACCCATTCATCCGCTGGTCTTGTTCAGCGCTGGCTACTGGTGGCAATGGAGCCACAGAGTCGTTTAGACAGAGAGAGGGCCCTTGTGGGAGGACATTGGCGTCATTGTTTGGCTCAATCCAGGGAATGTATGTTGTCCGATTTTGACACATCACATCATTGTGGTACTAAGTAACCAGTGGCTGTGAAATGATTAACTGTTGACCCTCAACCAGGAAAGGGAGAGGCCTCTATCTATGGAAAAACAGATAAAACACCCTCTATCTTGTTGCTATCGGTGCATGCTAACAAGAGAATTAATGAGAGGATACAGCATCCTGTAGACGCTGGCACCATCCATCTTGACTGTCAGGGAGTTGGACAGAAGTTAGTTGGAGACTGATTGATGACCGAGCCCCCCGAGGGAAGGGGCCTGAGCAGTTGGGGTCTGACCGCGACAGCTAACGTGTATGGAAGCCACCAGGCGGCCCGGGCAGCCAGGCCCAGCTCCAGGCCTTGGAGAAAAAGCCGCATTTAGCATTTCAAATGAAGCCAGGAAGCCAAGAGTCAGGAGGTCCTCATACATCTTGATGCTCCCCTGATTGATAAGGTGTGAATTTAATACACCAAATGGCTGTCTTTTACAACTGCTCAGGAGCTTAATTATGCAAATGACAGGTGTGAGCCGAATCCACAAGAGACCCAAATGGACCTAAATCACTCAAGATTGAAATAAATTGGTGATGGATGGGAGCTCATCCTGTCACTGCCAGTGTCTGCTTCCTGTGAATAGTAGCATTCTTCTACAGCCCTGGGCTTTTCCTCCTTGCTGTCTTGGCCTGGCAGGTAGCAGTCAGACTCACAGATGTGGTATTCTCTGCTCAGGATGTTACTACCAATGCAGTTGGCAACGTCCTAAAATTGATCACTTAGGGGAAGGACTTTGAGACATGGGGTTAGGAAAAGTTTAGATGAATCATTTAAGTCATACATCAAGTGATATGTCAAACATTCTTTGGTTTCATTCTCTCACATCTAAGGAATTGCTGCTTTTCTCTGTTTTATACCATCGTGAATATACTATGTTTGGAGTTTTTTGGACTCTTGGTTTAACAAAACCAGACACCCATTTGGTTCAGGTAACATTTCTCGGACAATTAGACAATTAGAAAAATACAGATTTGGGGGCTAACATGAATTATTTTCTTTACAAATCAATCAGTTGGTGTAGGAAATAATGAAAAATGGCCATGGCAAATTCCCATAACCAGTGCTAACATCTTTGAACATGTTGTTTTGTCCAACCAAGAAAAACAGAAAATAT